TGCAGGGGCCACCACTTTTAATTCGATATTAGAATCTATTATAGAGCATATACAGTACATGCAACTTTACTCAAGTTGGAGGTTCACTTCATATAGAGCACATAGGAACATGTATATGTAGGATTGTACACAATCCATCATTGTAGAATTGTGACAAGCTACAAACCGATACATCTAGAGTTTGCCTAAAATTACTCTTCAAGTGGTTATACATTTAAATGTACTTTATAATGCATGTACTTTGATATTTATATGTAAATATGAAGTATGACTTAGACTGAAGCCGGTTTCATTCTTATCTGCAATCAAAGTAAAGGAAAGGTGAACAAAGCCAACATTTATTTTTGGAGGGAGGGAGGGTTGTGTCGGGATAGTCAAGTGAAAGCATCATCTAGACCAATTGGAGCCACAATGCAAGTGCAAGACCCCTCTGTAGCCTTAATATATTACTGTGGAATACTTTATTTTCGCTGGAATTAATTTTCGCTGAAAAGGCTTCTTGGGCATTTTGCTTGAAATTTATTTTCACTGATTTTTCATGAGTTTAATGTGAAATATAGGAAAACAAGTATATTCGCTGGATTTTATTTTCACGGAATCATCCCTTCAGCGAAAATAAATTCCAAGCGAAAATAAAGTATTCTACAGTATTATACCAGTTGTTATTACCAACATGGAAGAGATACCATACAAGTTTTGCCAAGAACTAGAATAACATCTTACTGCAACACCTTTTTTTTCAAATCTTGTAGGCATAAAGTCAAATGGAAGTCGTCAAAAAATTGATAAGACAAACATACAAGTATGCGCGCACACACACGCACACACGCACGCACACGCACACACGCACGCGCACACACGCACGCGCACACACGCACACACACACACACGCACACACACACGGTAACCACAAAGACTTCTATTGTGTGAATTGCACACATACAGGAGTCAGAAATGTTTATAAATATTTTACATGAAAAATTATTCATGGCTTTCTGAAATGTACTGTACAACATAACCAATAACAAATATGCAAATTTAAGACATCACAGATTCACCTTTATTGTATTAATAGTGAGAGTACAGTAGTCAGTTTACAAACTAGTTTGGTGAGACTACAACAAATACAAGGTGTCAAATTTACATAGTAATCCATATCAGTATTAAATAGCATTAAACAGCTTCTGAACTCAAACACAAAGTGTCATCCAAATTAACAACTGTAAAATTCATCAAACGTCTTTTTAACCCGTTGACCACCAAAATGTGAACATTTGGACTGAATGGACCTAATTTCCCACTGATCAAATTTTTTCGGGAAAAAAAATGTTTAGCGATCAATGGGTTAAAGCGTTAGTGTTTCTCTTCTAACGGTGACTTCTTCATCACAATGAAACCATTTGATGTGTTCACCAACTATTAACGGCAGTTGTACCAAAGCATCCCACATGTTGTACACCTCTTTTAAAAACAATTTGTAAAATAATGTTTTAAAAATAAAATATACTCAAATAAAACATTTTTTTTTTTCTCGTTTTCTTCTTTGCAATTCTGACATAGAAAAACATTTCTTAAAGTTGTAATATATGAAGAAAACATTTCAAAACGCTGTCTGTATACAAATATATGCAAGGACGTGTTCACTGACGTTGAGTGACTTTAGGAAATGTCCAAAAAGCAGTAATCCTCGAGGATAGGAGCATATTTTGCGATTAATGCTCTGCCACACAAGCAGGATTGTTTTAATTGAATAACTTGGTGCTCTGTCATGTCACGGTCATGTGAACATGTTTTTTTGGAAATCTGGTAATAGGACAAATCCTCATTTGAGAAACTAAGCAATTAGTTAATTTCCTTGAAATCAATACAAGTTGTAAAATTATTATGCAAGATCGAAAACGCCATTAATACAGACACAACTCAAGTAAATAAAATGACCTTCTATTTCATACAAGAATATACATGAAATCAGTTTCAACTCAAACACAATCCTCATTACATGATTAGTTTGAGATAAATTTACTTCCTTCTTTTGAGCAGCATTACCACTGTCACATGCAGTCTATAAACAATACACAGTGCAAATACTGCAAAGTTGTTTGTTTTAATCTCTCCGCAAAAATTGTCAGGTCAGTGCTTTCATAAAGCAATCATCTAAATAATGCACTTTCAAAGCAATTTATAAAGTTTTGATAAAATAACTTTTTTTTTGTTTTTAACAATAAATGTACACATACAATACAGAAACACACTTTTTTTTTTTCTAAAACTGTTTAATAAGGCCATATAACAACAACTGCTAATTAATGCGTGATCATATCTATGTTCAATTCTTGATTGAGTTCTCAGCAATTTTTGTCCAGTAAGTTATGTCACTCACTCTGGTCTTTTTAACCCTTTGAAATTTTCGACCACAACCTTGGGGTGACACTTTGTAAATTCTGATCAAATAGGTGACTTCACTGCAAGACCCGTGTAACGCATGAAAAACATAGATCAAATGGGTGACTTCACTGCAAGACCCGTGTAACGCATGAAAAACATGGATCAAATGGGTGACTTCACTGCAAGACCCGTGTAACGCATGAAAAACATGGATTAAAATAGGTGACTTCACTGCAAGACCCGTGTAACGCATGAAAAACATGGATCAAAATAGGTGACTTCACTGCAAGACCCGTGTAACGCATGAAAGACATGGATCAATGATTTTTTTTTAGGCGAGGAATACGATGTTGAGAAATCCTTACTTCATTGAAATTTACCATCATCAAATGTACATAGCACTATTATAAAGCCCGGAAATACCCACAAAATAGATTTTGAGTTTGTTGATGCCAATACAGCCTTTTTTCATGCATAATGCGAGATCACGCAATGAATGGAAAATGGGTTATTGTTTGTTAAAAATGAAAAATTACATGGGTGTAAATGTTAAAAGTGACAAGAGACGACTTTGGCATTCAAAAGGTTAAAGGTCGCACACATGGTCAACTGCAGAAGTAGAGAATAGTCATTGTGTTTGTTTGTGTTGTAAGATTGTTTGAACAAAATTTCTTGGGGGGGGAAAAAACTTACGATGAGTGTGTGATTTAGTGAGAATGAAATATACTAGGACATACAACTAACCCTTCTTTTTTTGACAGTGAGGTTGAGAGACAGTTGTGATATTAAGTATAATTTGAATGGCACTAAAGATCAGATCAGAAGGTAGATATTTCAGATAGAAACAAGTAATTGTATTACAAAGTCCCTGTGAGTTATCAAGTACATGTAATATATAAAATTTGAACATGAATGGTAAGAGCATAATCAGAGTTATGGCATTATAGCTGCACTCATTAAAACTAAATGGCCACCAGTCGGTCATTGCGAATTCAATCTGAAAAACAAAATGATGTGCATCATGTTCTTAATGTTCAATGTACATACAAAGTTTGAACAAAATCTGTCCAGGCACAACTGAGATCCAGAACCGGAACTGCAGAAATGCTTGATTTTGATGATTGTGATGATTGACCGGGGATGTCAGGGATGGAACAGCAAAATGGCCACCAGTCAGCCATTTTGAATCCGATAAAAACAAAAAAACACAAAACCGTCAATACACACCCAAGATGCGATCTGGTCAAGAATGCTCGCACATAAAATGGCCACCATTCAGCCATCTTGAATCAGATTGCTAAATGAGTGAACATGCATGATGTAGGTTTGAAGAACATTGACGGTTTAAAAAGACAGCTAAGGATAGAGATATGTTTCTATGGATGAAACATGGGGGAAAAAGACAATATGACAAAGATTTGCGAGACGACATATACAATAAAATAAATAAATAAGTAAAATAAGAATGAATGAATAAGTGAATGAATCTTGTAACTAGGTTTCATTAAATACAGAGCATAAGATTGCAGTTTTTAACATTCACACTATTATGGTGCCTAAACTTTAATACAAAGTTTGTAGTTTCCACCATTAATGCTACGATTCATGGTGTTATTGTGTTGTCACTGACAAAGTGTACAGTTTCCATCATTAACGCTATAGATGCTAATATGAACAGGGATTGAATTAACTCAATATTAGAAAGGAAA